CAGGCTCATCTTAAAAATCACCTCACACTCCACACAGGAGAAAAACCCTTTGCCTGTGATAAATGTGGCAAAACATTTAGACAGAAGTTTAGTCTTCAGCGTCACCAGGTGTGCCACAGTGAAGAAAAACCATTTGCCTGTGATCAGTGTGACAAAAGGTTTAGCCGGAAGACATCCCTTAAAATGCACATGACCATCCATAAGGGAGAAAAACCATTTGCATGCAGCGACTGTGGCAGATGCTTCAGACTTAAGAGTGAACTAAAAAGCCACATGATATCCCACTCAGATCTAAAACCATTCGTTTGTGGGTATTGTGGTGGCAGATTTACTCGCAAAGCAAGTCTGCGTCTGCATGTTAGACTCCACACTGGGGAGAATATGCTGTCATGTGATAAATGTGATAAAAAGTTTACTCGGAAGGCTCACCTTCAGAAACACATGGGATTTCATGCAAAACTGGAGAATGTGAGGTCTGGAAAGGATTGCTTTGCTTGTGAAAAATGTGGAAGAAGGTTTGTGAAGAAGTGTCGTGTTGAAAGACATATGGTCGTTCACACAGGAAAGGATCAATTGAGATGCAATATTTGTTTGAAGAGGTTTACTAGAGCTGAGAATCTGAAGAATCACAAACTGAGAATTCACAGTGAATAGAGATTTCAGTTCATTTGGAAAAATTTTCTGTCAAAATGCCACAGCAGTTTGCATTTTGTCTCCATTTACCAACAAATATGCAAAAAAAAAATTGCTTATAAAAGTTAGAGATTGTAGTTTTAAATGTGACATGAATCTCATTACATCTTCTCAATGTGACTCATTCCCAGTTAATACTGTAGGACAATTTATACACATATTCTGGGATTGTCTGAATGTGACTGCTGTCTGTAAAAATCCACCACTTTGGGTGATGTGCTATAAGTGGATATCTCTTATTCACCTTTTTTACTCCTTCTTAATGATGATTCCACCCTAGGGTTTTCCTCTCACCAAAGCATATGCAGCAGCTAAGAAGATGTTGGCAGCCAGCACATATATTGCTGTGGCAACAATGGACCAATTCTTATCTATGTATTGTCATGATAGAGAGATCAGCACGAGGATGAATGCGACCAGCAGGAAAACAATGAGGGCATGGGATGCGGGTTACTGTTTGATTAAAGAAGAAGCTCAACACAATTCTCTGTGACCTTCTTATTATGTGACTGTACGATATATTTTCATTTACGACTGACACTGAATTTGAGGTTTTTCTGAGCTGTAAGCCTTAATCATCACAAATACAAAAAATAAAGGTGTGCTGTTTTTCATGCCTTGTGGAATTTATTTAATATGTGATTTTCCTTCTTGAAATAAGTGACTAATATATTTAACTTGAAGATATTCTGTTTTTTATTCGGTGTATTGAATAAAAGAAGAAAAAACATTTCCATGCAGCAACTATGGAAGATGTTTCAGACTTAAGGATGTTTTAAAAAGCTATACGATACCCACTCAAATGTAAAACCGTTTGTCTGTGGTGATTGTGGTGCTACTTTTTCTCGGAAACAAAGTTTGCTCCTGCATGTTAGACTCCAAATTGTCGAGAATCAGTTGTCATGTGATCATTGTGATGAAAAGTTTGTCCTTAAGAGTTACCTTCTGTGTTTTCAGTTCAGTTCCGTTTAATATCTGAATGTTGTAGGATCCTAATATGTCCATCAGATGGCAGCAGTGAGACACAAGGCAGCGTGTGGCTGTGAAGATGCCTGATCAAAATCCTTCTGCGGTCCATAATATGAATCAGAACACAACACAGAACACAAAACATGCTAATTTCTTTAACATCAAGTATATGTAATTTAATAGAAAAATGATTAATAATAGATTAGTCATGGTTTTCGAAAGGAGAGCAATACCAATGATCTAACATTGTCTTTAAAGCAGGAAATCAGGAGAGCACAAATAAACAGTTATTGCAACTGTATTACTGAGTTTAAAACATAATCATTCAGAAAGTAGGGCTGATGTTTTATCAGCCCTACTTTCAAACAAATAAAATAAAACAAACAATAAAATTCATGTGGGTACCAGCACATTTGAGTAAAATGAAATGAGAGTGCAGATAAGACAGCAAAGAAGGAAAGTCAAAATACCATCTGCAGCTTCATAGTAAAAACAAGCAAATCAGACAGAAAGAGTGTCATTAAACAAAATCCAGTGAAATAATTGGAAATAAGGTGAGATGGAAATAGATGGTTTTATAAAATTTTTATAAAATCCTAAAGGCAGTAGGTGAAATCAGAACTGGGAGAAGAAATACAAAGGATGAGAGGCAAATAAGATTAAGACTTGGATACCCAGGACTTAAAATTATACTTTTAAAATAAAAAAGCATAATACAGGGAAATGTAATGTGGAATGGAAGAAATCATAGAACATGTTATATTAGACTGTCATAAAGTTTTATAAAGAGAGAGTTTGGAAAAATAAAAAGTTTAGTGTAATAGTACCACTAAAAAATAACTTGTATTTGTTATCATTAGCTTGTTAAATAAATCAACATTGATTATTGGAATTTGATTACATACCGGTTTTTGATTTTTATGTGTACATGATACTTTCAAGAACCACACTCCGAACCAGTAGGTGGCGGTAATGCCCACTTTAAGTTTTCTTGCCATCTGCAGGAAGAACAACTTGAATCTACCAGATTTCTTGTGAGTGTAAGCTTTTCGATTCACAGTGTATCCTTATTCTCCAGAGAAGCCAAAACATNGTTGACTCTGTGAAGGAAGAAAGTGAAGGTAAAACACTTAATCTGATAATTATGAAATAGTTATGGTCATGAGAACCTATGGAAGAATCAAGAAAAAGGGAAAGAGCTGTAGACAGCTAAGTTCCTACTCTAGACATAAACAGCTAGATGTGAACTGGGGCAGAACAGGTCTCGTTGCCCTGTGTGAGGTGCAGCCAGAGATGCCAAGCAGTCTTCACTGCACTTCTGATCGATTTGTCTGCGTAATCACGTCAAGGTTTACTTTAATTTTAATCTACTGCTCCTGGTCAAACAAAAACAAAGCTGATCTTCTGCGGATTTTTTTTTCTTACATAGTTTTCTGTTTTTTAATTCGCAGAGATAATCAATGTTTTTTTTAAACTTAGTGTGTGTCATGCTCGCTAATAGGTTGACAGAGATCAGTCAGCCATCATGCACTGTTTTCCCACTTGTGCTTATTTAGAAGTTGTAATTGTTGCAATAAAATGACGGAAGCTCGCTGCTCACAGTTAGGCTTCCTGAAAAGATGGCAGTGTAGGCTTGTTATTCTATTAAACTGCATGTTAATGTAAAATATGACATATAAAGCTGCAGTATGGACTTTTATAAATATAAAAAATATTCATTTACATATTTGTTGAAACTGTCGATATGTTGTGACAATATACAGGGACGACCCAAGCCTCCATGGGGCCCTTAGTGAAATCTGGTTTTGGGGTGTTCTGTCATATCATCATACGTTTAGTACCAACTGACGGCTATATCTGTCAGACAGGTAAACGCTGTCATTACCATATGATTTTATTTAATCAGCAACATAGAATCATGAAGTTGATCGTCATACACTTTGTTATTAACAGCAGTATGACATCCTGACTTAGTGGTTAACTAGTCATACCATCATCAAGCAACAGGGAGGTGAGTTTTACACTGGCGTGTTTTGTAGTTGACTTTAGCTAGTCCTTGCTTCAAATACACTTTGAAACCACGACAATGCATGTATATCTAACTAGTAATCATTGAAAACAATTTGTTGACTTATTTTCGTCGTAACTTGTCGCGTATGCTGAACTGACAACTCCTCTGAAGGTCGGACTTCTTAATGCGCATGCGCAGGCATGCGTACTCACTGCATGTATTCTGACGGCGTATGATGATCTGATAGAACAGGGGCCCTCTGTTTCTGCTAACAATGTGGATGGCTGCAATCAACAGTCATATGATTAGCTCATTCACACACCTACTTTTAACTTATTGCATCTCTGACAGTGTTGCTTACATTATATCCTATATATAATACAGGATACATTTATTTCACGTGTTTGCTGCAGGAAATCAGCAACTGTGGTAGGTTAAACAGTCCTTAGTGTAAAATTTAGCCAAGATGTCCATGTAGGCCTTTTGCAATAAATAATCACATGATAAATTAAAACTTCATAATCCATTTTATTTGTTGTTTGAGTATTTAACATGTCGTCCAGTTCCAGTGTTAAATATTCAATAGAATTTAAAGTTTATTAATGTGGTCTTGTGTTATTATGCCATTACCAGTATATTACTTGACAATGATCTCAAAACAACAATATTATCATTTATCGTAATAACTTCAGGCTTTGTTCATGTGTTTCCTACAGAAGAGCAGCAGTTGCTGGTGGTTAAAGAAGAGGTTCCTGATCTGAGCAGTTCCAGTTTGGACCAGCAGAACCTCACATGTTTCCAGGTGAAGAAGGAAGAGGAAGAACAGTGTATCAGTCAGGACATATATCAGCTTACTGTGAAGAATGAAGACGAAGAGAAAGAAATGAAACCTCAATTGTCAGAGGTTCATCACATCAAACGTGAAGACAGCAGAGAGACAGAAGCTCCAACCAGCAGCTCAGCTGAACAGATGAAAACAGAACCTGATGGAGAGATCAGTGGAGGACCAGAACCCAACAGAGAGCTGGATTCAAATCCTAATTTACAGGCAAATATTGAAGAAAGGCATTCATCCTCTTCTGAGACTGAAGTCAGTGATGAGAGCGAAGATGATAATCTATCAGGTTCTGAATCTGAAAATGAAGACGGTGATGAAGATTGGAGGGAACCCAGAACACGTCAGTCGGGTGTAAACAGCAAAGTGGGACGTAAAGCTGCCAAGAAGGCCTTCAGCTGCCCTGACTGTGGTAAACCGTTTGTGAGGAAGCAGATGTTCCAGAAACATATGGCAGGTCATTCAGGAGAAAAGTCTTCCAGCTGCTCGGTTGAGAAGAATCACTCGAGAGGGAAGCGGAATGGGGATTCACAGACCAGACTCAAGCCAGGAAGGAAATACTTTACTTGTAACAATTGTGGTGAAATCTTTAAGAAACTAGCTGCTCTTAAATGTCATATCAGAATCCATTGTGGTGAAAAATCAGTTGTTTGCAAAGATTGTGGTAAAATCTTTCACTCCCGGGATCATTTTAAATCTCACCAGAGACTGCACACAGGAGAAAAACCCTTTGCCTGTGATAAATGTGGTAAAAGATTTAGCCAGAAGCATACCCTTAAAAATCACATGACATGCCACACAGGAGATAAACCATTTCAGTGCGAGTTGTGTGATAAAAAGTTAGTCTCAAATGGAGGTCTGAAGACCCACATGACCATCCATAAAGGAGTAAAACCATTTGTGTGCAGCGACTGTGGCAGATGCTTCAGACTTAAGAGCGATCTAAAAGGCCACATGACAACCCACTTAGACGTAAAATCGTTTGGCTGTGGCTATTGTGGCACTAGTTTTTCTCACAAAAGAAGTCTTCTCCAGCATGTTAGACTCCACACTGGGAAGAACCTATTGTCATGTGATAAATGTGATAAAAAGTTTGTCGGGAAGTATTACCTTCTAAGACATATGCAAGTTCATCTGAAACGGGAAAAAGCGGTGACCGGGAAGGGGAACTTTTCTTGTGTGGAATGTGGGAAGAGGTTTCTCCAGGAGGCACATGTGAAAAGCCACATGGTGATTCACACAGGAGAGAAACCATTTAGCTGTGGTTTTTGTGGCGCCAAATTTACTCACAAGAGAAGTATGCTGCGGCATGTCAGACTCCACACTGGGGAGAATCTTCTGTCATGTGATAAATGTGATAAAAAGTTTGCTCGGAACTATTATCTTCTCAGACATATGCGGGTTCATGCGAAAGAGGAGAAAGTGGTGACTGGTAAGGGGAACTTTGCTTGTAAAGAGTGGTGAAGAAGGCAGTATGCAAAAAAAATTGCATGGTTGTTCACACGGGAGAGAAAACATTTATCTGTGACCTTTGTTTGAAGAAGTTTGCACGAGTGGAAGGCTGGAGGATGAACAAGGCTCACGGTGGGGGTGCATATTTCTACCCAAAACAGGCAGTGGACTTTAAGTTTAATTTAGTCTTTTGTGTATTGCTATTTTTGAATAAATGCAGAAAATGATCAATTTATTGTTTCTGTAAAGCGTCTGAAGGACAAAATGTGACAAAATTGCGTAAAAGAATTAGCTCCCCAATTTTTAAAGTTTATTTTATGTCAAACATATTTTGTCTTGTTAATTTTTCTTGCGCTAAATGGAGGCCATTTCCCCATAAAGCTTAATTCTTTCCATGCTTGGACACAGCACTCTGTGAATAACCAGCTTCTTCAGCAATGACGTTTTGAGGTTTATGCTCCTTGTGGACGGTTTCGACGTCTGTTTTCTGAACGTCTGTCCAGTCAGCAGTCTTCCTCGTGAATGTGTAGTTCACTAATGCAAACTGAGAGACCATTTAGGGGCTCAAAAAGCCTTAGTGGGTATTTCATGTAATTCATGTGAGATGCCAGGATTTTTTTTTATATTGAACTACTTTGCAATTTTCAAATTTTCTGAAACACTAAATTTGGGGTTTTCGTGATCTGTAAGCTCATCACAATTACAAGAAATAAATGGTTGAAATATTTCAGTCTCTGTAAGGACTTTATATAAGTGAGTTTCCCTTCCTGAAATAACTGACTAAAATATTGAACTGTATATCTCCGTTTTCAATCCATCCTCTTTTCAAAACATCTGAATGTTGTATTAACCAACTGACTCCAGCAGATGGCAGCAGTGTGTGGCTGTGCAGACGCCTGACCAAAATCCATATAAGGTCCATAACTATCTAAATCTACCGGAGTGTGAGCTTTTCGATTCACAGCGTAACCCTCTTTTCCATTAAAGCCAGAACATCGGGGCCGTGTGTGGACCAAAATTACGATGGAAAGTTGCAGATTTGGAGAACAATCCAGCTTCGATGACTCTGTGAAGAAAAAGAGGGAAGGTAAATCACTTCATCTTGTCATTATGAAATAATTCTTATTAGAACCAGTTAAAGCATGAAGTAAACAAGTTGATGCTCCTAATATGTACCGAGAGTTCCAACTATAGACATAAACGCCTTGATGTTCTCAGAAACCCCGTTTCAGAAAGCGGCTTAGTGAAAACTCTGAAAAACTAATGACGAGTCTGTTCATACGCTCGATATTTGATTTGAGAAAAAGAGTCAATGTACTTCTGCGAACGATTATTATTTCTCGGAAACAGAATGGTTTGAACAAACTATATCTTTCCCACTTTGTAGCTGAGACTTGGCAATAGGAAAGCGTGTTGTGGAGTGAAAAGTGGCTAATAAAAACAAATCATCACACCGGAATCCGTTTCTGTCTGCTTTATGCTGGCCAACTTTGGAAGGTTCTTAGCGCACCTCCATTTTACACAACTTCCAAATTCAAATAAATTTCACAGAGGACTCATAGACTCAAACATATCCATATATAGTTCTCAAATAGTCCAGTTCGTTGTTTGGTTGACGCACAAATTTTGGCTTGCGCTTAGGGGAGTTTCCAGGAATTGTCCAGCTGGAACATTTCAAGTTATTTCTCTATATCTCTCCAAATCTGAATTCCTTCCTGGTTTTCCAGGTCAGAGAGACTCAGGAGATTTGACACAGTACATTTCTTTTTGATAAAAACATGCCTTTCTGCAAACAGCAGTAAGGCACTAAACCAGACTTTATGAACATTTACTCAGTTCTTGAGTAACCCTTTTACCAAAAACTTTTTTTTTTTTTTTTTTTACTTTTTATTCTTGAGTTATTTCTTGAAATGCTACTTTTTACTTTTGCTTGAGTAAAAGTATATTGAAGTAATGCTGTTACCTGGCCACTCTACCCACCTCTGTTACATCCCTCGGTGTTTATTTAATGCTGGGAATAAACCCAACCTTTCATTTCTGTGCATATTAATAGAGTAGAATGTATATATTTGTATGTGTTAAAACTTTTATTTTAGGTCATTTTTGAACCTGCATTTTTAAAGAGCTCTTCTTCCCTTGCACTCACAGCCGTGCTGCTTCTCCTTGCTCGGTTTAGATGTCAGCCATTATATCATCAACAAACCTCATGGCATTTAGCCGATAGGCTACAAATCTCTATCGTCGGCCATCGTTTCTATATTTTCTACTGTATACCGTAGTGTATTCCTAGTTAACACAAATTTCGTGCCAACAGTACAACAGAAAATAATTCTTTGTGACAAAAGAAATGCATTTTATGCTAATGTCAAAATGTGAACCAAGCACATTAAAACCACAATATCTTAACTTTTGGAAACAAATATAGATTTTTTTTTCCAAGTCATAGATCATTTTAGTGGCACTTACACTTCCTTTTATATTTTGGCATCTATTAATACGTTAGTCATCAATTATGAGTATACAATAAATTTCAAATAAGTGTCTATTAGACAGTTGTATTCACAATAAACAGACTTTGGTGTAAGATTTAACTAAGATGTTTATGTGTGTCCTGCAGAAGAGCAGCAGCTGCTTGTGGTTAAAGAAGAGGTTCCTGATCTGAGCAGTTCCAGTTTGGACCAGCAGAACTTCACATGTTCCCAGGTGAAGAAGGAAGAGGAGGAACAATGGATCAGTCAGGACATATATCAGCTTACTGTGAAGAAAGAAGATGATGAGAAACCTGAATTGTCAGAGGTTTATCACATCAAAAGTGAAGACAGCAGAGAGACAGAAGCTCCAACCAGCAGCTCAGCTGAACAGATGAAAACAGAACCTGATGGAGAGATCAGTGGAGGATCAGAACCCAACAGAGAGCTGGATTCAAATCCTAATTTACAGGCAAATATTGAAGAAAGGCATTCATCCTCTTCTGAGACTGAAGTCAGTGATGAGAGCGAAGATGATAATCTATCAGGTTCTGAATCTGAAAATGAAGACAGTGATGAAGATTGGAGGGAACCCAGAACACGTCAGTCTGGTGTAAACAGCAAAGTGGGACGTAAAGCTGCCAAGAAGGCCTTCAGCTGCCCTGACTGTGGTAAACAGTTTGTGAGGAAGCAGATGTTCCAGAAACATATGGCAGGTCATTCAAGAGAAAAGTCTTCCAGCTGCTCGGTTGAGAAGAATCACTCCTGCAGGAAGCAAAACAGTGATACGAAGATGGGACTCGAACCAGGCAGAAAATCCTTTTCTTGTGACGATTGTGGAAAAACATTTCAGAAAGCTTATAGTCTTAAATGTCATATGAAAATCCATCGTGGTGAAAACTTAGTTGTTTGTAAAGATTGTGGTAAAAACTTTCACTCTCAAGAACATTTTAAATATCACCTGACACTCCACACAGGAGAAAGACCCTTTGCCTGTGATAAATGTGGCAAAACATTTAGCCATAAGTGTAGCCTTAAAATGCACATGACTTGCCACTCAGGAGAACAACCATTTCAGTGTGAGCTATGTCATAAAAAGTTTACCTCAAATGGAAGTCTGAAGAACCACATGACCATCCATAAGGGAGAAAAACCATTTGCATGCAGCGTCTGTGGCAGATGTTTCAGACTTAAGAGTGATCTAAAAGGCCACATGATAATCCACTTTGATGTAAAACCGTTTGTCTGTGGGTACTGTGGTGCCAGTTTTACTCGGAAACAAAGTTTTCTTTGGCATGATAGACTTCACACTGGAGAGAAACTCCTGTCATGTGATAAATGTGATAAAAAGTTTGCTCGGAAGTCTCACCTTCAAAGACATGTCCTGATCCATGCGGGAAAGAAGAAACCGGTTTCTCAAATCAAAAAGTTTGCTTGTAAGGAATGTGGAAAAAGGTTTCTTGAAAATTATCAAGTAAGACGACACATGGTTATTCACATCGGAGAGAAACCGTTTAGCTGCAATCTTTGTTCAAAGACGTTTGCACGAGCGGAAGGAGTAAAGATGCATAATAAAAGAATTCACTTTAAATAGAGATTTCACACTTAAACTTTATGTGTGGCATAAAGTTCATTTTATGTCAAACATATTTGGAGTTAATTCAATAATTCTCGTGAGACAACATGAACCTTTAATATTGAACTTCTTTGCAATTTTCTGAGACACTGAATTTTGGATTTTCATGATCTGTAAGCTCATCACAATTACAAGAAATAAATGGTTCAAATATTTCACTCTCTGTAAGGAATTCACTTTAGATTCCTGAGTAAGGAATTTAAAGTGCAAGGAATTTACACTTAATTTACACTTGACTCACTTATACCTGAGTAAAGGTATAAGTGAGTTTTCCTTCCTGAAATAACTGATTAATATATTCAACTTCCACTTTAAAAACATCTGAATGTTGTGTTAACCAAATGACTCCAGCAGATGGCAGCAGTGAGACACATGGCAGTGTGTGGTTGTGCAGATGCCTGACCAAAATCCATTTAAGGTCCATAACTAAATCTACCGGAGTGTGAGCTTTTTGATTCACAGTGTAACCCTATTTTCCATTAAACATTAGGGACGTGTGTGGACCAAAATTACGATGGAAATTTGTAGATCTGGAGAACAATCCAGCTTCGTGTCATTTATGGTCACAAGATCATAAATGACGCGAGAGTTTTCTAAGTAACGTAGCACTATATTTAAGTTTAATCATGGTGTTTTTTTTTTTGTTTTTTTGTTGTTTTTGTTTGTTTAATCACATAAATTCCCGGCATTTGGGGGTTTAATCTGTCCCACACTGACATCCCTTGCTCACACAATTTGTGGAACATGCAGCAGAGCAGACAAATACAATCTGCATCACCTTGACTGGATTTTTAAAATGAACTCCTGCAGAGCGGCAAAGACATAACAGTGTCCTGCTATAAAGCGATGGTGCGCTGAAATCATTTGATTATCCTGCAGTTCCAAATTCCTGTTGCTGTTGGGGAATATTTCTAATCTATATTTTTACTAGTTAAATATTTTTTAGATATTCCAAATATTTGACAAACAATGTCTTCTATCATGTTTCGTAAATCACATTGCAAATAACAGTGTGTTATACGACTTTGTTATGATGTAAAGCATTTTGAAATGCCTTTTTGCTGAAGTGTCCTCTAATAAAATTTGAACGATTGTTTCATTGATTGCATGTGTAAGTCATTATATTTGCTTATCCTCCTCCCAGTATTTTGTGCTTTCTGAAATATTTGGTACATTCATGAAGGCAAACCCACAAAATTAGTTATTAGTTTCACATCCCGTCTAACATTTGGCATATCTGGTCAAGCCTGATATGAACAGGCTTGAACAGTGTTCACAGACCCAACTGTGAACACTGTACTGGACCGTAACTATATGACAGCTTTAATAATCCGCTCGGTAAGACGTAATTCCTTGATTAATTCTTCAGTTATAACTATGGAGATGACTGATTATGTTGTAGTATGTATTATTATTATTTGAAACAGTAAACAGACTTTCACAGCACCTCTCAAGTGAAGAAAATAGTGAAACTAAACTTTATTGTATCTCTAAAGGTAAATTAAGGGATTTCTATTTTGACTAGATTTTGTTCAGTATTTGTCTCTGTTACTTATTACTTCAAAAATTAACATATTACTGTATGCGCCATCTATTGGTCAAAATTAATTTAACATTAAATTGAGTCCTGATTTAGGCCGAGTTATATTGTTTTAAGTGGGTAAATATGCCACTCACAATATGGCAACCGCACTGCCGTGCTGTTTTTAAGCAAACCTGTGCTCCGGCGGGGGGAGCTCTTTGGTTACTAGGGTTACACAGAATGAGGCGGCTGTGGAGATGCCTGCTCTAAAACCTCGGGGGGGATGAGGAGGGCAGAAAACGCCAACACAAAGAAAGAGTCCGAGGCCCTGTCGGAGAATGTTTCCAGCTCCTGTAACAGCTCCATGGATCCAGCCTGGCAGAAATGTTAGTGTTCGGCCTGGTTCGTGTGAAACGAGCCTCCGGTTCGTTTTACAGAAAACGGACACCATGAAGGAAGTGGATAATGTCCATCACAACACTGAAAGTCTGTCTTTGGAGGAGAAAGTGCAGATGAAACAGCTCGGTGTCCACCAGCCGCAGGATGTTGGTAGACCCCAAACAGCTGGTAAGAAGAAGCTCTGATTTCACCAGGAGGTTCTGCCGTTAGCTTGCTGTTGCTCCGAGTATGAATGCGTTAAAGTGGAGCTCCGAGCATTTTCATGAAAACCACTCGGCTCTGCTAGTGTTGACTGAAATGAACAAATGGAGCAATGAACGCATACACAGCGGTTTGAGCCTAAACTCGTCTGTTATATTGACCAGGGTTTTAAAATGTTAACCAATTACGTCATAAACATTCAACAAATTATAACGCATCTAGATTTGACCGAACGCAACGTCTAACAGCGTCATTGAATTAGAAACGCATGAAGCAAAATGTAGAAATAAAATGGAAAAAAAAAATATTTCTAAATCTATCCTAACTGGCTGGACACTGATCATAAGTAGCAACCAGGTGATGCTAATCAAATGCATTGATTAACTGATTATCAGGAGGTGTAGTGACGTTTATAGACTGTCAAACAATTTCACTTGAGTCATCTGAATATCATAGGTGAAGATTAAAAGTGAAACCAGATCTTAAAAACTGAAATTATGTGGCAGTTTGTATTTGTTTACATTTAAACCTGTTGTGGACTAGCATTATAAATTGAGGTACAATTTCAAAATCTTAAACTAATATTTTGTTGGGCTGGTTTTAGCTTTGGTTACAGCATGCGTTTGCTGTGGCATTGTTTTGATAAGCTTCTGCAATGTCACAAAATTTACTTCCATGCAGTGCTGCATCAATTATTCACTGAGATCTTGTAGAGACTGACCACTGTGCAAATACTTCTCCAGCACATCCCAAAGATTTTCAGTGGGGTTAAGGTTCAGACTGTGTGGGGGCCGATCCATGTGTGATAATATTGTCTCATGCTCTCTGAACCATTCTTTCGCAACTTTAGTGCAATAAATTCTCGCTTTGTAATCTTGGACTACTGTGGTGCCATCCAGCAGATCATCGCACTGACCCAGCAGGATCGTACAATAGGGCACGAGGCATGATGGGAGCATACTTCATCTGCCTCTCTTCTTAGCCTGATGCACCAATCACTCAGGAACAGGGTAAATCTGGATTAATCAGACCAGGTGGCCTTTTTCCATTGCTCCCGAGTTCAATCTTTATTCTTCCTTCAGCCACTTTCTTAAGCTAGTCTCACTGGTTTGTGGTTTTCTTATAACTACACAGCTGTTCAGTTCCAATCCCTTGAGTTGCCTTCACATTGTGTGTGTGGAAATACTCTTATTTTCATTACTACACATAGCCCTGAGTTTGAATTTGTTTTTTGTTTTTTTTTTATTTGGTGTCACCAAACATTTTGGTGATTGCAATCATTCATGATATATTTCAGACTACATTTCTTACTTGAAGGCAATGATTCCCCACTAACATTACAGTTTTTTTAGTAATGTGTTGGACAGTTCTTAACTCAATTTTTTTTACTTGTTTGCAGTCTTCTTAGATTTTTTCTCTGTTTCTGCATGGCAATGATTTGACCAACATCTTTTCCGTGACCGCAGGATGTCTTTCCACATGATTGTTTTAAGAAATGAGAAGCTATTCATTGCATCATTTGGGGTGAAATAACTTGTTGCCAGCTGAAACATATCCACCCATTCAGTAATTATCTAAAAGGAGTCTTATGCCTATTTGTGTAGTTAAATCCAGATGTTTTTAGAATATTTTTGGGGGGAGTTGAAGGGTTTGCCATGCTGCGTATTTACATATTGCCACAAAACATTCAAAAAATTTATAAATCCTGGGCCTTTTCAGCGGTCAGGATAAACGTCCAATAATTTGATTAATACCAGTCAGTAGTTTTTTTTCCAATTTGGATTCATTTTTGCTGAAATACGAGTTAGTGTTTATTTTTTATATATTGTTTTTTTGCCTGGTCTTTCATACTGCTGAAATGATGCGGTAGCAATCAGACTTATGTGTGAACGGGTTATAACCCCAAAGCGACCCACATGCACAGAAGAATGTTGTCACACAGCAGCACACTGCTTACTGAAGTAGCCACTGTCTATGGATCAATTTTAAAGTTTAGAAATGGGAGATCATGACAAGGGAAAGAAATTTTTAAAAAAGCACAAGTAATGGAAATGATCTTTTTGTAGAGGTTTGACAGCAGCTTCTGTTGACAAGTCTGTTTGGATGAGTTGTCAAAGTGCGTGTGGTGCACTTCAGTGACGCATTCCTCTTTAATAACGTCATCATAATTTTCATTATCAGCCACTATTTACATCTAGATTTACTGAGTCTGCCTTCTTCTGGTGCAGAATTATGATGCATGAAGAAAATGGATATAATTATTTGGTAATAAACGATTGGCTATTTCTTAGATGAGACTGGTCTTATCCAGCAATCTGCAAATGTCAAAAAATCAACCACTGTCACCTTTTGCTCTGCTCTGTGAGAAGGCTGATAGACCTGCCCACCAGGTCACTTCTGTATGAAACAAGAGTCATTCCAATGTTGCCCACTTTGCAACTGTCGCTGTATGTAGTTATTGTTCAGAGCTCTTTAGCGACTTTCTTTTTATTTTATTATTTTTTTTAAGTGATTAGTGACAAATCCAGCAACCTTTTTTCTGTGTTATTGGAGACCTTGTTTTAAATTCTGCCAAATTTGGAATCTTTTTAAAGATCATGATTGACTCAAAATCTGATTTTGTGCACTCCTCATGATTATTATTAGAAATTTTCAAAACTGTAACCTGCAAAATAGATATCAAAGAGGTGTATATGCATCTGGCAGCTGCAGATTTACTGATTTAAAAAACATCCAATACTAGCACCACCATAAAAACACAGGTTTACAGGCTTTGTTTGGATCTCTTCGTAGAAAAGCTGTTGTTGCTGTCGTACAATCTGGAAAGAGTTATAGGTTTCAATCATTCTGCAGTGTAAAGCAGTAGGTCCTAATTGTTTGCTGAAGCTTGGCCCAAATCGGGTAGTCCAAAAGGACGGTGATCCCAAACACAGCTGAAAATCTGCAGCACAATGGCTACAAAGTCAAAATGTGAATCCATCTGTTCCACAGCTGAAGCTCGCATGAAACTGGGTCAAGGCAAAGCTCCAGCAGAATGGCTGAAAATGAAAAGACCGAGTGTGGTGAAATAGCCCACTCAAAGTCCAGACCTCAGCCTGATTGAAATGCCGTGGTGGGACCCAAGTGAGCTGTGCAGAAACCAATGTGTAGGTGGCTATTGAGGTCTGCAAACCTCAATAAACTAAAGGAGAATTAGGCCAAATTCCTCCTTGACGACGTGAGAGACAGAGAAAGTCCAATAGAAACCCAGAGTTAACCAAAACTATTACTGGTATGCACGCTTGTGAATTTAGATGTAAATTCTTTTGCATCTGAGGAATTTAAGCAGTGAAAGAAAATCAAGGCTTCTGCTTAAAAGCATGTGACCATGGAAGAAAAAAAACAAACAATTTCTCCTGACGTGGTGCCACATTTACAAGGAAAAGAAAACATTTGTGGGTTAAGCAGAGGTGAGCATGTGGGCTGCACACATAGAAACTTTTGATGGAGGCTGTGTGATGGTTTTGGGTGCAATCCCCCAGACTGGGGGTGGGGGGAACAGGTCTCACAGTTAACTACCTAATTCAATTCATAAAGACCTCAAGATGAAATTCTGTGGACTAAACTTTGGAGTTTGGTCCAGTCTGGGCACTCTAGGACAAAATGTAGAACAGTTTAAGGGAAAAAAAATAAGAAGCAGAGAGTGTGTTAAGTAGTATTTAAGCGAACTGCAAGATCTAGGAGGCTTGCAGTTGAAGTTAAATTGTTGCTGAGCAGTCCAAAGAAACGGAGAGCTTGTTACGTGCAACTCTTCATCTCGTGCATGTTTCTGTTAAAATCCATAAAAATGCATATGTTTGTGGGCTTTCTTGCCTACAATGTTAACATGTCAAAAGAGTCTGTTGTCGTAGTGCCTAGTATTTCTCCACGTCAACTGTCTGACTGTGGTTGACTTTGACATGAGGCTTTTTTTTTGCCGATAAGCCCTGTGTGGTTTTCTCTAAACATCTTTTTGCAAAGGATATTGTTTAGGAAGTCCTGTGGTTTATCCAGGCCCAACTTTGCAAATGTAAGTCATGTGGACATTTTGTTGTTGAGAGAAGAGGCATACAGAACAGAACATTATAGAATGGTGCCTTTAGCTATAAAATAAAAATGTAAATTATTAAAAGGAAAAAAAAAAACATGCAGAACACCCACTCCTGTGTGTGGCGCTGCAGTAGCTTTTAATGTTACTAAATGACTTGTGTGCCTTTTTTAATATTAATACTACAATCCCCAAAATGTCCTGTGTGTGCCACAGAGGTGACTTTTATTTGACATTTAATTTCACATGTGCTTAAAGTGTTGAGCTTTGCTTCTTCCACATTCACTGTTTAAGTAGTAATTTATAAAGAGGTTTATCTTTGTACATGAAGAGAAGAAAAGACGGCCTCAATTTTATCATATTCTTTTAATTAATGTCAATAAAAGCTTTGTCCAAGCTTTTAATTTTTGTGCTGTATTCTTGAACAATTCTGTGAGAGTGATCCCTGGAGTAAAAACTTCTATCATCATCTGAGCAGTGTCGCTGATTTTTGACTCGCGTTTCTGCAACTGTATTTGTTAAACTGGTCCTTGCATTTCTCTGTGTCCAGCAGATGTTCGGCCCTTGGAGGTGATGAAAGAGAAGGTTCCCTGGAGCCCCAGTACGGATCAGCAGAACCCAGAACCCGTTCACATAAAAGAAGAAGAGGAAGAACTCTGGATCAGTCAAGAGGGGGAGTATCATTATGGGTTGGACGAAAACGAGTACAGCCGACTCCCATTAACTGTTATCGTGAAGACTGAAGATGAGGAAGAGGAACCTCAGACTTCACAGCTTCATCAAAGCCAAACTAACGCCAGAGAGTTTGCCAGAGAGGTTGAGCGTCCAACCAGCAGCTTTAAATGGATCAAAAAGGAAACTGATGGAGAGGACTGGGGACGGCTGGAACTGGTTAGGAAACCACGTGTTCCAAGACCAAAGAGTGGCGCGGAGGGTTTAGACACCCCCGAGACTGAATTTAGTGAAGAAGACGATTGGCAGGAACCTTTGTCAGAGACCGACTCGGGGTGTAAGGGAAGCGGAGCAACAGAGTTGGGAGCAGGCAGCGATAACGGATGCAGCGCTGTTAAAAAGCCGTTCAGCTGCCCAGAGTGTGGTAAACAGTTTCTGTACAGGCAGTCTCTGAAGAGACACATGAGACGCAACATAGAAAAAAGCTCCAACTGTTCGGTTAATCTGAAATGTTCCGAAGTGAAGCAAAGTGCAGATTCAAAGACCAAAGTCCATACGGGGAAGAAAAACTTCAGCTGCGATATGTGCGGAAAAACTTTCAGAGATCATTTCAGCCTGAAATCTCACATGAGAGTCCACTCTGAGGAAAAGCCCTTTGGCTGCGAAATTTGTGCCAAGTGCTTCAAGCATGAGCACAACCTGAAGATACATATGAGAATCCACACAGGAGAGATGCCGTTCAGCTGCGAAGTTTGCGGTAAAAGGTTTAAGCATCAGCACAATCTGAAGACGCACATGAGAATCCACACTGGGGAGAAGCCTTTTGTGTGCGACATCTGTGGCAAAAGAGCAAGACACCAGAACAACCTGAAGACGCACATGATAGTCCACAGAGGGGAACGACCCTTCGGTTGTGATCTCTGTGGCAAGAAGTTCAACCGTAAAACGAGTCTTAGGGCGCACATGACGGTTCACACGGGCGAAAAACCGTTTGCTTGTGATATCTGCGGTAAAAGCTACAAGCGCAAAACGCACCTTCGGACTCACATGACCGTCCACAATGAAGAAAAGCCTTTTGGTTGCGACGTCTGCGGTAAGAGGTTCAATCGTAAAACGCATCTCGGGACGCACATGGCGGTCCACACCGGCGAGAAGCCTTACAGCTGTGACTTCTGCGGTAAAAGGTTCACCCGGAAAACGCATCTAGATTCCCACATTACGGTTCACACAGGAGAAAAACCTTTTGGCTGCGCCGTGTGTGGGCAAGAATTCTCCCAGCAGGGAAGTTTAAACAGACACATGACATTACACTTGGGATAAAAGCACATTTAGAGAAAAAACCTGGAGGTAAAACCTAAAGCTAATTTCTTCACTTCCATGACAGAGGTGGCTTGTCTTATTGTATGCCTTTTTTGTAGATTTTGACTTTAATTACTACAAGTATGAGCTTTATAACTCTAACTGTGCGAGAGGATGGAGAAGCTGAGCTAAGATGCATTTACCCTTGGTTGGTACTGTTCAGAAACACCAAGTAAATCATGCTCATTGTTAATGTCGCTCCTGTTTCAAGCAAATTTGTTTTTTTTTGTACAATTTGTAACTCATCTTTGGTAGCGTAACACACATGATGAGTTGGAGTATAGAAATAATTGTTAGCTATCACTTTGAGGTATTTGGTTCTCAAAGCTCTTTAATCTTACCAATGAAGCAATACTTTGCTAAATGACCACCAGCACACCTACTTGACAAATCAAATCAGAAATTGAAACCAAAATTATTGGTTAAAGAACATGAATTTAGCATTTAAAGACTCTAAGACTGAAAGTAAGTTGGAGTAAGGAGACATATTTTTTCTATTTTGGTGGATTCAAGTTTCTGACTAATAAGTTTATGCACTAGTATAGTTTGGCAGATCATGACCAACTGATTATCCAGTTGTAAAAATGACTGAGCCTAACAGTCACTTGTATACATACATAGATGTATTTATATTCCTGGGTTATTATTTTCACATACCTTTTAAATATAAAGCAGAGAAGCAGAATATGACCAAGTGCGTTTATGAAAAAATGTCAGTATATGGATGTCTAAAGCATATAAATAAGTTGTATTTGACTTAAATAAACTTTGTTTTTCTTAAAAAGTTTGTTTTTTTTAAAAACATATACTCTTTGGATGAAATAATTTTGCTTTCTGTATAATGTCTGTATAATGGTAGAATAGATGTAACTTGGGTACAGTCATGGGTAAATGTTTTAAATGTGAAATATTTTATTAGCTTTGCAGCTTCAGATTTTATGCTAACAAATCATATTGCTTTGAGTTTATTGAGTGATCATATGCAGATTAAGTCTATTTGTAAAGGTTTACTGTAAAAAAAAAAACTATTTTTGCACACCACGATCAGTTAATATTTCCTTCAATTCTATTATCAGCATTGGATGTATTCATAAAATAGCCCAGATGAAATCATAACTAATCTAATAATGAGGTTTAACAGGCTTGTTGTATACATGAACCTTTTCAACTCTCATCTTTCTATGGGCTGAGATTAGTGTTTTGTGATGACTGCTCCAAAACATTGACTATGCTGTCCTTGATCCACTTTCTAATTTGGTGGTGTCATTAGCGGTACTGTCTATTGGAAGAGCCATTTGTACCCAAGCTGTAACTTACTGCCTCTTGTGATGTTGCTTTTATATTTCCACATCGTACCATAATGCTATTTCCTCATGATGCAGGTTTTTTTTTTTAAGTGTACCAGAGCCTCCTGCAACAAAACATCCACACATGATGTTGCCACCCCCTAACGTCACAGTTGAAATTGTGCTCTCAAATTTACGAGATTCTTTATCCAAATGTAATAATGGTCATTATGACCAAACACTTCCATTAGGTCTTTTGTTCTTGAATTTGGTGAGTGAACTGCAATCTGGCTTCTGATGTTGCTTTTAGAGTAATGGCCTCTTGCTTTGGTTTTTGAGCCAATGTAAGAAGAAATTGAATAATTTAACTATGAATAATGACTGTCTAACTAGCTTCACATTGAAACCGGCTAATCTCTGGGACACAAAATTGTCCTTCCTGAACAGCTGGATGGTATGGTATTTATGCTTATATATAATCTGAAAAGATTAATGTGGCACCTCCAGACTTTTAAAGGCCCATAGTTCTCTTCCTGCTATTTTGAAGATTATATTTACGTGATATAAAACAAGGAATGTGTTTGAGGTGTTTCCTCAACATACATCCACAAGTATTGTTTAAAAGTCCCTCTTATACTCTTTAAGATGAAACCATTTGTTCTGACATAAAGCTCTTGTTGCTAAACACTGCCAACACCGAAGACCATCTCGCGAGCATTTCGGTCATTTTTTTTGGTTTAATAGCAAGTTACAAAAATACATTTTCAGTTTAAAAGGCATGCGTTTTCAATATACAAATGCAAAAATCTTTTAACCTAAACGCCGCTCTGTGCTACGTTTCAATGCATAAACGGGGCACTGTTTCCCCTCCCAATATGGCTGACACGACGACGTGTCATTGCAGTGAGATGAAAGGATTGAGGCGTCGCACGTTTTGTTTCGAAATTCATTGATTATAAGTATATAATTTATATAACATAAAGCAAAATTTTGAAAAAGGAAACTCACGATGTATGCGAAAGCCATGAGGAATATGGTTACTATAGTGACGGAGAATAAAGGCGTCTGTGCAGGTGCCTGTTTAAAACAAATGAACCGTTAAGAAATATTTATCAAAAAGTTATTTAAAGGGACTGAAGGGACGCTACCATGTATATTAGGCCCATAAGGTAAATCTGGCGCTTTCATCTGACTGAATGGTGAGCGGGTATTGTTGGCATCGATTCGGTTCTGTGTTCGGAGGAGGCCCAGTTCGACGAGCTCAGCGCCAGTTAGAACAAAAAACACAATGAAGGAAGTGGAATATGCTCATCAGAACAGATCTGAAAGTCTGCCTTTAGAGGACAAAGTGCAGAAGAAATTCCACGGCGTCCATCAGCAGCAGGATGTTGGTAGAAATCAAACGGCTGGTAAGAAGAAGCTTTGATTTAATGCTGTTAGCTAGCTGTAGCTCTCGTCTCCTGTGCTGAAGCAGATAAAAAGCCCAATCTGTGTTTTTGTGCATCTGAAACCGAGTCATTTTTCTCCCTTCAAAATGTTTTTGCAGCCTAATCGATTTGCATTTATTATAACTATGAAGATACAATATATTTTGCCGCAATCTAACGTTTGTAAATTGTAGCCGAAACTGACGTGAAAATAGATTAACGTGGTTAATAACATTCCTTCTTTAAGGCTTAAACTGCCTATTTAAGGATTAAAAGGGCACAGTCCTAAACTACTAATTGTAATGTTAAAGCAGTCTTCAGTCACTAGCATACTCATACTGTTCAAAGCACTGGTAAAACAAGGATGCAAAACTGTATGAGTTTAAATAAACATTTGCTAATTAACAAAATACCTCTAGAGATTTTTCATTAAAAATAAATATTAATTTTTCATTAAAATAAATATTAATGAAAAACACTTTATGAACTCCAGAGTTTTCTATCTGATAAGAAAAAATAGGTTTTTACAGACCAGACCATTCTATGTGTCTGATTTTTAGGGTACATGTTTCTTTTCAGCTCTGTTAACAGATTTTTAGATTACATATGATTGAGCAGTGCTTTATAGTTTTAGTTTTGGTAATATCCTCTAATTTAAAAAATATACACACATATATATATATTTATCTTGTGAGGATGTTTTTCTATTTATCTTTGTTCATTCATCTTGATTTTGTTCTAAAACTATTTTAAGACACCTTAAACAAATGATTCTGGATTATGGTTCCTCTTCTTTAAACCAAATTCAAAGTATAATTCACAGCATCTTTACACAGCTCTTCCTCAACTATTCTTAATTCACTTTTCTGACTTTGAAGAATACTTTTAAAATAATTGAAAAGCCCATATTTGTGCATCTTTGCCGCAGACGGTTTGTTTGTATGAAATACAGAGGAACCATCACCCAACCTGCTTGTCTTTTTCCATTAAATTATGAAGCATTTAAAAGTGCTAAGCTATCAACTAAAGACTTGCTTTTGGCAGTATCAACTGTCATGGCATTGCTTTTCTTTTTTCTTTTTCGGAAAACAGTTTGAGTTGCTGTCCTGGATGTCCAGATGTAATGATGCATGGTTTATAAAAAACAACAAAAAAAACATTAAAATGGAAAATATGATTATGTGGTTATGAAAGATAAATATTATCTGTTCTAGGTTCTAAAGTGATTCAAATTTCAGCTTAACTTTACAAAAACACAAAATTTCAGGTGAACTTTACAGTTCTCTCAATATGAATACAAATGTTTCAAATCCACTCAGATCCACTTTGCACTAAGAGCTCTACAATTGTATATACAATTCAGTCCAACATGGGGAGCTAATGAGAATATCTAAATTAACGTTCTAATTTCCAGACAATATTGTTACACACATTGTGTTTAGGTTGGTGTATGACCCATACCAGTTTATATCAAACCATGTTTTGTTAAACAAGGATGAAGTAGGACTGAGAGAAAATATGAACTAAAGATAAAAGCCTGTTGATTTAAAGAGGTTCTGCTTTTTTTTTTTTTTTTTTTTTTTTTTTTTTTTTTTTTTTTTTTTTTTTTTTATTTCATTTTTTTTT